AATATTTACAAATATTTTATATAATGATATATTATTTGCAAAAATTTCTAAAGAGATTTTTTGATATTAAATATTAATTCCTCCTTTGCGTTCGTGAAAGATGCTTTAGCTACTAGCGTAACGGAGTTGCTTACTGTACTTCATTGTCTTTTAGTTTTACGCCTGTAATATAATCCAACACGTTTCGATGCACATCGATGTAAGTAAGATTTATATATCTGTCAGTGTTATTTGGCAACTATAGCACTCTCTATAACACATTCATATTCTTCAATTCTTTAACATATAACGCAGTTGGCAAACGCGCTCAGTGAAGCTATTTTAGATAACAGAAATGTAAATACAATTTTATATATTAAAAAATTTATTTACAAGATAAAATATTAAATATACAATATTAAAATATTTTAAATGCATACGTCATATTCTTCAGATTCCTAATAGAGTTTCCAGAATTAAAGTTTAAAATATTACTATTAATTATTATAAAGAAAAACAGACATTTAAAAAATGTTAGGTAAATATAATCTTTTATTTTACTTTTTCGAATATTATAGATAATAATTAAATATTGCAACAAATAACTTATATCTTGTTTTTTTGAAATTTAATATTGTCTAGTTTTCATAAAATTTTGCAATAAATTAAATAGACACAAGTTTTTAAAGTAAATTTGGAACTAAATTTAGATCAGTTTTTCCAATATCACGTTTATTAGAACATTTAGCATAATACTAAATTCTAAAATATAGATCTTTTTTTTTTATTTTAAGGAAATGATTTTAAATTAACTTTTATTTTATAATTTGTTTTATTTTATTTTATTTTATTTTATTTTATTTTACAAAAGCAAACAACATTTTTTTATTTCTAAGAGAAAGGAACTCTTAAACAAAAATAAAATAGTATAATATTAATGGATTTTATCTTGATATGAATGATTAAATTGCAAACAGATGTGTCATTTCTTTTCAAAGAAATAAATTAAGTGTGGTGTATAATAAGATTAGCCTTGGCAGTACAGTATATTGAATTAAATATAAAAACTCTTTAATTGTCTTTGAAACAACAGGGAAACATTCTACTCGTTAGAATTAAAATTTTCAAAGTAAATTATTAATAAAAGAAAATTGTAAAGTACTTTTTATGCGAAAATTGTAAAGTACTTTTGATACGATACGTAAAGCGGTACCATATTTCTCCAACAGCACACGTGAAAGAATTTTTGAAACGATCATGTTTAAAGTGTGGAGAACTATCTTTAGAGCTCTCGCACGGACGGTACTCCTTGCACAGAAATAGAACACGTATTCGTTGACGGGATATCCAGAAGAGATATATTTAAAAACTAGATTGACTTTATTTTCTCTTTCGGTATAAAAAAATTTTAAAAAGTAAATATCGTGAAAATATGCACCACTACAAGAACTCGTAATATGTATCTAGACCAATTAAATTGTGAAATTTAATTTTATAAATTGTGAAATGTAATTTATTAATATGCAATAAATCTTGAATTTGTCAAGATAAATTTTTTGTTCCGTTCTTCTTGTTTAAATTCTTCATATTCAATAAGTTGTTGCTCAAGAATATCATTTCGTGATTTTTCAATTATCACAACTGACCTCTCTGCTGACTGGTGATCTGTTGTCGCGTGACTTGTCTTTCCGTTCGTTGCTGAATGTACTGTTGTTGTTGTTGTTGTTGTTCTTGCACGATAGCTTGTTGCTGCTGTTGTTGCGTCTGCGATTCTTGAAATTGTTGTCGCTTCATCTTGGATCGAGAAATTCAATAATCGTAAGTCGTGAGTCGTTCGGATGGCAAAATTGTGGCCAACTATATGACTTATTAGTAGTAAACTGCTAATTAATCTGAGGAATATCTGAAAAGATCTCCTTTCTTCTCTCTCAACGTTGTGTTTGGTCACCTGAGATTTAACAAACAAACTCTTGATGCACAACGACGAATTTGAAGCAAATCACTCGCACTTATCTCGCTTTACTCTGCAAAACGCGCAGTTTTGCTGGTAACCGCGGCTCAGTTCAATCAGTCTGCAGAATCAAGTCATCGTCAAAAGTCTTGTCCCCGTGATTCTTTAAACCAAGACGTCGGTCGAATGCGAATTGGACGGGTTACGACTTGACGCTCGGCTAAAGCATAAGAAGATGGTGAGGGTGTCGCATGATGACGCCTCCAGGGTGGGGACGTTTGAACGCTCCGACGTTCAATACGTGCGGAAGTTGCTTAGGAGGAACAAGAGGAATATATTAGGGTGTACGAATCAACTCGACATATTCAAAAAGATTCAATAATTTTTTATGTTTTATGTTCAGAAATAAAAACGGAAGGGGAGAGAAAAGAATTATTCAATACGTAAATATTATATGAAATGTGATAAACACATTGTACCATTTTTCTTGCTTTTCAATTTTTATTTCACAAATTACACATGATGTTGTTTATGTTTCTGATAACCGCTGGTTAATATTGAAGAAAGGATGTCTTACATTAGAAAAATATAAAATATAGGAAGCAAAAATTTGCTCGCCTTTTATTGGTAGTTACTTTATACATTTTATCGAATAGAGCGGTAAAGTAGTAGTAAAATCTCACGCAGCGTTCTTACGCTCTCTGACAGCCACCCACGCATCTCCACATTATTGCACATCTCTCTTTCGTTGTTCCTCTCTGTAAAATGAAACATTCTAGATTCTCATACTTGAATGCATACAATAAGAGCATTCTTTTTTCTTTTCCTTTATCGCGCCTCTTTATTTCTTTGTACTTCTTTGCTCAAATATAATATGTACAAATTTTGAAATTCTTCTTCTTCTTCTCAGTATTATTTTTTTTTTTTATTTATGACGTACATAAAGAATATTATAACGTACATATTGTATGCATGTTTCAAGATTTACGCAATCTCGTCGTTTTCTCTCTCTCTCTCTCTCTCTCTCTCTCTCTTTCTCTCTCTCCTTTTTCTCTCTAATTTCCATCTCAGTTTATTCAATACGTTTATTCTTTCTTTCTTGGTGGAATTTGGCGGTAGAAATCATTCTCGTTGTACGTAACCTCAGCCAAGTTTAGCCACACGAACAGGCCCTGATTGCGATTCTGCAAGAGCATATCGCCTGCGCACTGCGCTTGTAAATTCGAACTAGTGTCGCTACACACCATATTCTAAAAACATATACACGTACATCAATCAAGCTAACAACGTGGGAGATCTTCTCATAACGATGTGAATTCTGTCTTTGGGATATTTTTAATATTATCCAGAAAACTTTGAAAACATTTTTTTTACCTTAAAGATTTCGTAGATATTTTATACACTTGGATAGAAACTACAAATAATTGTAGTCTTCTATTTATAAGCAATGAGCATAATTCCATCTAATCATTAATGTTTCATCGACGAATCGGAGCGAAACATGCACCGATTGTAATACCTGTATGCTGTTTGGTACTCTCGTGTAATTTATACGCATTAACGATATGTATCTTTAAAGTATAATATATACTTTATATCGCAATCAATGTGCATCAATTTTCTAAATGTTTTACGTATTTATTATATTAATAAAAAACGAACGTTAAATGGTTAAAGTGTACATAAAAAGGAAGTAAGTACCATTCCGCACTTTTGCTCCAAGAACATCAGTATAATCTTGAAGAAGATGGCGGATCACGCGTGAATCATCGCGTTTCGTTCAAAGTGCCGCATAGCGACATTATCTATTTTGAGATTTTGTAAAATAATCTCGATCGACATGATGAGAGAATCTTTGCATTATGATTTTGTGATTCATGTCCGAATCCGAACGTAGCGTATCATGCTACTGCTAAGAGCGTCACGAACATACACATACACACACACACACACATATGTATATATATATATGTATATAATATAATATATATATATACACACAC